ATGTGTATGCCCTGCAGACTCTCTTAAAACTGAGGTAATTGTCTTCAGTACTTACTTGGGTTTTTTTCCTTTCTATTTACCTCAGGAAATTCACTGAGCAAAAAGCATCAAGAGTATTAAATTTCATTACAATAAGTACCTACCTGCTTTGCCTCCAAGGCTGTTCTTATATTCACATTTTGCAGGACATAACCTTTGCTGAGTAGTATTTGAATTATTGCTTCCATTTTATAGGGCAGATAACTGAATGCTTTATTTGATACTGGTTTACTCTTACCAAGTGTGGATAGGACTAGCCATAAAAATGTAAGCCTAGGACAGTGCTGCTTACTTGCAGGTTATTTTAAACCCTTATATAGTCCGTAGTTCATTTGAGGAGAAAATTTTTTGTGCAAATGGCATTTCAGGAAGGTCGTGTGAATATATTCATAAACATGTTTAATTCATTGGCAAAATATGAGAGAGAGTTGGTGCAGAATTAACCTGCCCAATTTTAAAATGATGTGCCTTTTCAAAGCATCGATCAAATGTCTAAGCGATTAAAAATTGGGAAATTGTTGTTTCACCTTTCTGTATGGCACTGCTTTGTACCAACAGAGGGAGTAGCATTCTGAGGGGAAAAAAGTTTAAAAAATTTCATGAACACTTCAGAATTACTGCTTCTATATGAGTAAAAAATGTGCCTATTTCTAAGAATTCATTTTGCCAAAGCAATTATTGAATATAAGTCTAACAAATGCATAGTGCTATTATATTGTTTACAGCATATTGAAAAAAAAAAACAACTTTCTCCCTACATAGCAGTGGACTTTGGGGATTAGGATTAATGGTTGCAGAAAGGCTGCTGTCTGGTTTGGCACTCCAGAATTCCAATTTTAACTAAAATGAAGAACTCTCTGCATCTTCAAAGCTGCTGCTCTAGTTCGTTCTCAAAATAAACCAAGCCAAACAAGCTGCATAATAACCGGTGTTCTACTTATTAGAATTTTTAAATAGAAAACTGTAAATACATAAAACATAATGTGGGTTGTGTATAATATATATTAGTATGGTTGCTATACATATATAAACATATACATACATCTATATTTATAAACACATACATACATATATATATACACATATACATATGTGTATATGTATGTACATACACACATATATATACACACATATACATATGTGTGTGTATATATATATGTAAAGCCAGACTGCTTTTCCTGTGAGAAATAGCTGTTAAGAGTTGTGCTCAGTGATCTCAGAGGTCTTGTCCAACCTAAACCATTCTATGATTCTATATATTATGCATATAATATTGCGTATTTATCTGTGATTTATGAAGAATTGGAGTTTTGCCCACAAAAAGGCACAGAAGTAATTGTGCAACCCTGCATCCAATTAATTTACAACTATTAACTTTATTAGACTGAATGCTAATTTCTTTGTTTAGCAATCTTTTGAATGAATTTAGCCCAGTCAGCTGTTGAAATATTTGGGGATAGTTTGAGAAATAATGTTTTAGCAATTCAGTGCTCCTATGTCTTAAGTTAATTAAACAGTGAGAACTGAAACAGGCATATCATCATAAAAGTCTAGATTCTTATAAGGTCAGCAGTTCTCCAATACATAGTAATAAATGCAATTCCTGAAGGTCAACATTAATATGGTTCAAGAATTACATATTCAAACTGTATTATGCACAGCCAATATTATTTTTTGTCCATTGTGACAAAATTAACTGGTTTAAATGCATTGCTTGCATCTAAATATTTCATGTTCATCATGGACTGGAATTTAAAATGCTTATGGTGAATTGTTATTTTGCTTTTTTTCTTAGTATAGAGGAAAAAAGTAAATAACAAATGTGTCTTATAAGCAATTTCACAGGTTTTCTGCTGACCCAGTATAGCAAAGTTGTTAAATGTCTCATCACCTCATGAAACTAGGTCATCTAGGGTAGATGTGCTCATTCCACTTTTTCAAACAAAAAAATCTGCTATTAATAAATGAGCTATGGGCTCCAAGAGTGAAGGAAAAAATCCAGCAATACTTCTCTGCAAAGACCTTCTTTGTTTTGAATGTCTGAGTGAATTCTGAATTAGATTTCTTAGACTGTAAATCATTCAGTTCCATAATGATGATACAGCATGAAAAAGCTACATAATAGCCTGTCTTTGATCATGCATGCAATAAAAGAACTTCCTTAGTTTTGATATATGCTAAAATGTGAGATTTTTAGGATAACTTAAGGTATGACTTTTTTCCAGAAGAAATTGCGTTCTTAATGAATGCTATCCCGTTTCCATATCTGTCGGTAAAATCCAAGAATGAGCTGGTTTAGAAATGCTCCTGAATTACTGTTTGTGTGGTGGTTGTATCTCAATTATTCCTCTTCAGTTTTGGCCTCTGCTGGCTTTCTGCCAAGTTATTTGTTCTGTCAAGTTCTGTGTCTAATATTGCTGCTCCCATGAACAAATTGACTTGGATGAAAAAATGGATCTCTGTATGGTTTGTGTAATTTGCATGTCTCAAAAAATCTGTTATTGTGGTTCATGTTTTGGAGCTGTGTAGTCAATATGGTAGCTAGTGCTTGCTATACTTCTTAAAAATTATCCTAAAGCTTATTTTTGTCCAAGTTTTGACTAAAATCACAGATAAAATGTTTATTTATTTATGATCTTCTCTCCCATGTGCAATCAGATGCTTGGAAAACATCTGCTGCTCCTACTCAGGTTTTTGATCTCATAAATTTTCTAACTAATACTTTGGTGCAACAAATTCATCTTGTTTGTTTTTATTGTTGTCGCTTTTTCATCTAAAAGTCATTACAATTTATGTTTTTGCTGGTTCTCCATCTTTTCCCAAAGATCAATCTTCAATGCCAACAATGGTGGAAAAAAAATACATTTGTTATCCATTTTGAGATTTTTGTGTATGTTTTATAAATGTTCAAATCCTCTTCACTATCTTAAGGACTTTAGGGTTATAAAGTCAAGATTCTTGTAATGAGAAGAAATAACTTTTAAGTCTGGATAGTGCTTGTAGTAATTAATGCACTCTTTGTGCATGCATTATCCTAATTCTGTGTGAGATACTAATTTTATTTGCTGAAATGCTGTACTCTTTTCTCACAGTATTTAGCTTGCAGGAAATAGCTTTCTGTGAATTTCATGCTGAGTCAGAAAAAGATATAGCAAACATTTGCACAAAATTGCTTTTTTGTGACCAGTTTGCCAGTTTTAGGACTTTTGATGCTTTTCTATCCCTTTCAATATCAGAGCAATCCCAGTCTTGTTCATTCACTGCAAACCATCTCACCTGAGAGCTAATAAATATATGAAAGGTTCTTCAGACAAGCTCTTGAGATCTTCCTAGTGTTGTGTTAACTTGTGAATTGGATGATTTGAAGCAGGGGACTGTAGCAATGGAACAATAACCAAAAAAATCTTGTCATGTAATGCATGCCCAGGAAAGGTGTTGAAGTGAGGCAATTCACAGTGAGCTGATTCACATTTCCTAAATTTGGAGGTTTTGATTTGGTGGTATTTCTGCCTTTATATCCACAAGTATGTATCTCTGTGTAGCGCATGCAGAAAGAAGGAGAAATATTAAAATTCTATGGAAGTTAATAAGAATTGGCTACTTAGTGAGATCAGGATTTGACTTCATAGTGTGTCCATAGCCTTTCATCTTTTCTTCTAATACCACTTACTCAGGATTTAAAGCATCCTTCATATGAAGAAGTTTTTTGGAGGAAGGAAAATGGTGACATTTGTTTGTCAAAAATGTAGCTTATTCCTTGTGTCATAATTTCTTCCTGAAATTACTGTTTCTGATGTCTGTTGAATGAAATGTAGGAAGGATCCCCTTCACTACCCTGTGCCTACCATGTGCATAGGTAAATTGTGGTGTGGTTTGTGCAACATTACCAGTTCTGTCTCACCCAGCAGAGGGTGGCTGGAGAGACCTTCCCTGCTCCTGGCCTTTTCTCTGAACAGAAACTTGGTAGGAAGTTGGGAAGTGGAAGTGGGGTTTGTAGCTATGCTGTTTTGGAAAACAGGTTAGAGAGAAATCATAACATTGGCAAGTGTTGAAGATGTGGGCAAGACCAGTTTCACTGCATCTTGTGTTGGCTGATTGAGATGGGTGAGCTCTTGAGAGCTGTGGCTTGCAGGAGATGCAAATGAGGGTGTCATGGAGGGTGAGCAGTAGAAACGAGATGTGGGTATCTTTGGAAGCTACAGAGACCAATGCCCAGGGAGAGGACGTGATGAATACTAGGAAAACTGCTCATGAAACTGCTGTATTCCTTAATACCAAAATCTTTTCATTAATGTTTCCTCATGCTCGTTCATTTTGGAACCTCTTATATTACGATTTCATCTCCATGCTTTGTGCATGTGTGTGTGTTATATCACATTCCTGATATTCTGAACTTCAAAATGTACCTCCTCAACTTTCCCGTGGTTTACTTTTCAAATGTGTAAATTTGCAACATAGTAGGTGATTTGGCATTCTGCTGGTGACATGTGATTTGTCATTAATTGGGAAGGACAGCTTTTGAACAGCAATTATGCCTAAAAATTTCTATAAATCCATAAAAACTTGGGGAGAAGTTCTTGCGCATTAAAATTTTATTTCCTTTTCTATAGCATCTTTTCCCACAGAGAGTAACCATCTTCAGAGAGGGAAAGAAAAATTACACCAGCAAGTATAGGTAGTAAAATATGCTACATGTGTTCAGACACTATCCTGTTAGATGTCCATGTAGATAGTTGAGAGTTTTTAGTAACCTCCTATCTCCAGTCTTAAAATTTTGTTCAGTAAAAAGTCAAAGGCTTTAAGACAAATCTTTTTGGGAAAGGTTAATGAAAAACAGGGAAGAAGTCATTAAAATAGTAAAATGTACAGTACAAGTACCACATATGCAAGTGGAGGACATGGTATAAGGAGCTCTAGTTGATCTCAAGATTTTTAAAGCTTAATTAATAAATTTATTTCAGCTGGGAAGTCCTGAGATTCCTTCTGTCTAATTTGAGGATGTGGATTGAAGACTATCGCTTCGATGGGTTCCGGTTTGATGGCGTTACGTCCATGTTGTATCACCACCACGGCATCGGTGAGCCATTCATCAGCTCTGATCTCAGCCCTCCTGGTGCAGCTCTGTTGCTCTAAAGTTCTCTTTTCTCAGGGGGGAAAGGGGTTTAGCACAGGAGCTAGAGGGGCTTGTTGGTAGAGCTTGAAACTAGATGGGAAGGGACAAAACCCGGCTTGATAGTGAGGAGCAATGGGATGGCACAACCAAAGCTTGATGATGGAAGCACTAGGAAGACCCCTCAATCTGCTCCACAAGGTGTCAGGTGTAACAAACCGTGCTGGAAGTGTTTCTGTACCAACACAAACATGAGGAACAAAATAGAGGATCTCAGAGCTTTAGCCCAGTGCCAGGGTTTTGACATGATTGGCATAAGCAAAACTGGTGGGATGAGTCCTGTGGCTGGATGGAAGCACAACACAGCTGGCACAGGTGTGAAGAAGATTCCTAAACAGGTTCAGAAGATTACTGAAACACCTGCATGATGCAGGGTGTGATTCTGGGGGATGGTCCTGTACAAGGCCAGGTGTTGGACTCTGATGTTAATGGGTCTCTTCCAGCTCAGGATATTCTGTGAATGATCAAAAAAATCCACATTGGTTAATTTTCTTGCTTTGTTGCTATGAGGATAGATGGAAAATCATTAATACATTCTGCTTATAAAATGAAATATTGAGTAAAATAGCTGTGTTTTCTAAATAAACCTTGACTCTGGCTTTTAAAACTTCTTGTCTTATTAGGCACAGGGTTCAGTGGAGATTACAATGAGTATTTTGGCCTGCATGTGGATGAAGATGCTTTGTGTTACCTGATGCTGGCCAATCACATGATTAACACCTTGCACCCAGAATGCATAACCATAGCAGAGGTAAGCTCATTTTACCATCCTCAGTGACATTAATATTGATTAGTTTGCTTTGGGATGTGAATTTCCTGTTAATTATCCAGTCACGCCTTGGGTACTCAAGCAGTGACATGAGCTGAAAAATATTAATTAGTGGACAGACTTTGCCTGGTGGGAAAAAACAACCTGAATATGCACTCTGGGGATTTTCTCAGCATTAATAGTTTATTAATTAATGTGGCAGTTTTTTTCTTTTTTTTTTCCTTCAGCACCTTGAACTTGTAATGAGAATTGTTTTCATCAGTTTATTGCTTGTACATGATAGCCATTTGTCAGTGGTGCTCTGTGGTACTAAAGATTAACAGCCCTAATGATGTTTTGCATATTTTGAATTATATTGGTATATCTGACAATTACCCTTCAAATTAAATGCAATAAACTTATAGATGTTAAATATATAGGATAATTTAAATTTATTATTACGTTTCTTCAGGTTTCTAAAGGGATAAATAGACTATATTACTTGAGTTGATTGAGATAAATTTTTTTGACCCAAAAATGTTTCTTGCACATAGAGCTTTTAAGAGTATGAGACAGCAGAGCATTCAAAATTCTGATTTTCTTCTTCATCCAGAAGAACAATCATTTAAACATGGAGTGTTCTTTTCTGTTACCATGTTTAAATAATTCATTTTGTTTAAATGAAAAAGTGGGATCTATCTGATACCATTAAGGACTATATGGATTTCTAATAAAAGGGTTTGTGATGCTTCAGAGTTCTCTATTTTTAGGAAGGAAAATAGTGCTTTTCTTAATTTCTTATTTATGGCGAAGTCTTCTATCATAGACAATCACTGCTAGGAGCTCAATGACAAGCTACCAAAACAGCATCTGGGGAGCAATCAGTAGCAAACTGGGGGTGGTTTCATTGAGCTGTAGGCTTATTTGAAATTAACTCACTTAATTTTCTAGGTAGTCCTAGATTATAAGCATTCCTACCAAAGAATTTCTGGGTTTAGTTGTCTTGTATTACCTGGCCTAAGAATTCCTTTTTTTTAATAAGATGTGTCTTCAGTTTCTCATGCTTAAGTTGAGAGCTGCTTCTTTTTCAATACATAATTTTCTGCCTCAGGAAGTCACTACATGAATCATAGAATTGATCAATGTGCTTCATGGTTAAAGGAGAATTTCAGAATGAGAAACTATTGACATAATTGAAAATTACAAAAGGCAGTGAAGAATGTCTACTTGGCTATAGAATCAGTGCCATGTGAGAAAAATGTTTCTCTCTGGCCATAACTAATGATAATATATTCCCCAATTAATGTAATTAATCAAAGATTTTACAGCTTTTTAATATTCTGTATATTCACTGTCTTAGTAATTGCTAATTTTTTAGGTGTTACCGAGTATACGCTTGTTTTTCATTTTGGTCTTCTAAATAAAGCGGCGATTAAAGACCTTTATAATGAGAAGAAAAAATGCTAAGTAAAATTATGTAATTCCTGAAGTATTATAGACACAAACAGGTAAAGAAACAGTGGTTTCTATTTTCATATGAAATATGAATAGCATATTTTCATATGCTGCTCTTTTCAGACCTGTTCTGAACAAATGCTTTGTAATTAGCGTAATAGAATGGCTTGGATTGGAAAGGAACTTAAAGATCATCAAGTTCCAACTCCCTGCCATGAACAGGGACACTTTCCACTGGCCCAGGTTGCTCAGAGTCCCATCCAACCTGGCCTTGAACAGCAATGGGGCATCCACAGCTTCTCTGGGCAACCTGTGCCAGTGCCTCACCTCCCTCACAGTAAAGACTTTCTTCCTAATATTTAATCTAAACCTACTCTCTTCCTATTTCAAGCCATTCCCCCTTGTCCCATCAATATATATCCTAGCAAAATGTCCTATCTGACATTCTTGTGGGCTCCTTTCTGGAGCCACTGGAAGGCCACAATTAGGTCACCACAAAGGCTTTTTTTCTCAGGCTGAACAATCCCAATTCTCTCATCCTTTCCTCATAGCAGAGGTGCTCTGCCCCGATCATCTTCATGGCCCTCCTCTGGGCTGACTCCAGCAGGTCCCTGTCCTTGCTGTGCTGGGAGCCCAGAGCTGGATGCAGCCCTGCAGGTGAGCTCTCAGCAGAGGGGAAGAATGCCCTCTCTCTCCTGCTGCCCACTTTGGGCACAGCCCAGGACAGATTTGGATTTCTGGGCTGCAGGAGCACACTGACAAGTCATGTCCAGCCCACCAGCACCCCCAAGTCTTTCTTAGTGGCTGCTCTGGATCTGTTCACACCCAGCCTGGATTGATAAACAGGGGTTGCCCCAAGCCAGGTGCAGCCCCTGGGACATGTGTCTTGCTAAACTCACGAAGCTCCCATGTGTCCACTGAAATTGGTTTCCATACAGACATCACTGAGAAATGTGATTCCTGTCTGAATCCAGCATACTTGGCCATTCCACTGCCAAAACCCCCAACATTTTGGCAGTAACCCCAACCATGGAGCAATGTATGAATAAACTCAGTCCATCCATTCCTTTCAATGTTATTGCCTTCAGCTAGAGTTAGAGAGGAGAAATGGGCTTCTGCCTTAGCTTCCTTTACCAACTGTCTCAAGGCCCTGAAGTCCTTTTTGATCCCCCTTGGACCACATGTTGTCACTTCATTGACCCCTCTGTGGAAGATCAGTAATGTGTTGCAGTCTGAGGGCTGTACCAGGCCAGGAAGTTTCCTGGTGGAAGTACATTTGATCTACTCAACAAGCTATTTATGGTTATTTATTTTATTTTTTGTGTGTGTGTGTCCAGTTAAAATTTGTAGACATAAATATAAATGCTGTTAACTTTGGAACTTTACTTTCCAAAAATCTGGCTTTAATTATTTTGATTTAAGTAGATGGGACTTGCTTAAATCTCAGACTTGGACTCCTCCTGACTGGCACCATAAATTACAGAAAAAGGCTTTTGTTTCATATCATCATGTCCTGTATAATCTAGAGACCAAGAGTCTGTGTCTATCCTTTCTGACTGATTTAGGAGAGTTTTTGCAATTTTTATCACATCTAAAACTTTGTAAAGAATTTCCACTTCACTCTTTGCTTTTTGCAGCATGTGCAATTTGGACACAGTTTTCTGTGTGATCCAGTGGCTGCTGACTGAGGGGGGATAATTCCCTCCTTTGATCTCCTGGCTGTGCTGGCCATGCCATCCCTGCTGCCAGGCCTGGCTGCTGGCTGAAGCTCAGCGTGCTGCTGGCCCCCAGCCCCAGCCCTTGCTCCCCAGCCTGGCTGGCCCAGCCCCTGTGGATGCAGGAGGTTGCCCATCCCAGGGTCGGGATTATCTTGGTGACATGCTGACATTCTGTGTGACAGTTCTGCTGATTGATTCCTCCAGCCAGTCCCTCTGGATGGCAGCCCTGCCTTCCACCCCTGGGATGCCATCCATGAGCTTCCTGGTGATCTGGTTGATCTCCTCCCTTATGTCTGTGTATGCCTGTATATGTGTATAACTTGAAGCATAAATATCTTTTTTCACTATTCCAATGCAGAAATTGGATTGAAAACTGGATTGAATCCAGCAAATCAGAATGAGCTTCCTAATTAAGCCCTGGTGCTAGTCAGTATTAATTCCATAAATTCCCTTGTGTAGATGCAAGAGGTGTTTGTTAATCCATAACTGCTGTTAGTGAGAAGCCATTCCCCCACAGAAGTTAATAAAATTGAGTACTGATGGATATTTTGCAATTGTTAGAGACTTGCATTTTCTGTTCAGATAACTTTAGAAAAGAATGCTGCATGATAAAATTGCCTAACAACCATGGTGAAGTAAATATTTTGAGAACGTGGAATTACGAATTTAAGAGTAGTCAGCATCCATCAATATGAAACTGGAAAATTATGCAGTAAGAGCATGTCACTTCCAGGGCTAGCTGGATCAATAGGTTTTGTTTTGAGAAAAGAGTAGAGATTGTATTTTTCTTCCTTAGTGCACTTTAAATATAACCTTTTTTTATGCAATTCCTTATGCAAAATATCAATAAACAAAATGAAGGTTTAATTTGTCTTTTGTTGACCACTTTGTACTTTCTATTGATTACTTGGAGCTCAAGAGAGCTAATTATTTCAAACTCTGCATCTGCTGAGGTCTCTTCCCATTTAAATATTTACTGTATTAAAGTATTCTGAGGCAGAGAGATGAGAAAAGTCATAATGCTTTTCTCTGTAACTTTTGTATTCAAACAGCACATCTGAGTGTAGTTATAGCCGATTTAAATTTATTCTTCTCTCCCTTAAACCAGGTCAATCTGTGAAGCTGCTTATGGAGTGTTTGTATATCAGCATTACTGGTGGGAAGTATGCAGTGATATTTGCAGTGCTGTGGAAATGATGTTGTGGGTGTTTGATCTGTTCCAGGATGTTTCTGGAATGCCAGCTCTCTGTCGGCCTGTGGCAGAGGGAGGAGGGGGCTTTGATTACAGACTTGCCATGGCCATTCCAGATAAGTGGATACAGGTGAGAATTTAAAAATTACATCCTGTTCTTCAAAGGGGGATGCTCCTCTGTCAGTGCATACACATAAACACTTCTGAATCCCGCTGACAAGTTTTGCTTTCTCTTATGTTAATGTGCTATTGAAATAAATTCTGACAGGCTTGAGCACAGGTATTAGAGGCTGAAATGAGAGCTGTCAGATGTTATGTAGGTTTCAGGTGAGGAAGCTCAGGAGCTGGGATTCACACTCCAGCTGATAATTGTTTTCTTAATACAATATACATAAGCTCAATTTCTTTGAAAAGACCTGTGCCTTGCAAGAGCTGTAGAATGCGTAATCTATATTGAATGCGAACATGTAGATAAAAAAAGTTAACCATATGCATATAAATATATAAAAACAAACAAATCACTCCAAAAACATGCACTAAACCCTCCTGATGCTGGGCATAGAAATTGGCATAGACCTGTAAGTTTAAGCAAAATAAACCTTTGTGAATTACACAAACACCTGCAATTGGTACGGGGAGTTACAAAAATGAATAATATAAATCTGTAAATATTAATAAATTCTGTCTACAATAAGGATTTATATCACCTTTTCCTTAATATAGAGAATCAAAAGAAAAGGCTTAAACACTAAATTATTTGAAAACGCTTCTAGTGATGTTTTAGAGAACATTTTTCAGTTAAATGAAATATTGCACCCACATCATTTGGGATGTCATGATGATCTGAAAACAAATGTTTTATATGACCATTAATGCTTCAATAAATACAGTATGGAGCTAAGAATAACAACAAAAAAATTAGCATCTTTGAGTTTTGTAACTAGGAGGTAAAGGGCCTATTGAAAAATAATTTCAAGCCTCTTTTCAGAAGACAAACTTGTCAGCTTTTTCAACAGAGACACCATCATTAAAACTTGGAATGTGTAATGTAGATATTTAGGTCCTGGAATGCAGTAAGGGCTCTTTTTCCTTTAACAGCAAATACCTAGTTGTGATGTTTTGTGGGTTTCTTGGAGTTTTGTTAGTTTGTTTTTTGTTTTGTTCCTTAACATACTTCAGGGCAGGCAAGATGAGCAATTTCCTAGGTAAGCAAAATGCAAGTGGCCAAGTTCATGTTACACAGGAAAAAAAACCCCAGACCATAGAATTTTACCAGTGCAAAAAAATTTGCAGTCTAATTTAACAATCTTTGATATAGTCTGCCTCATTTAAGTCACAATACTTGGACAGAAAGCATAACTATGCTGCAGCAAATGCTTTAACTGGAGAAAATGTCAGTTTTTCCAGCTTAAACAGGCACTTGACATGGGACAGCATGGGACACTGATGGGATGTTGAGTGCAAATCAGTTATTACTGGCATTGTACAAAAACTTAGTGTGATGTAGGCAGGAATCTTCTTGCCAAAGAAGCTGCAAATAAGTGACCAGAGTAGAGATGTGGAGTTAGAGAAAGAGGTGATGCCAGAGTTTGTTACCACATTTCATGAAGGGAAGAACAAAGCTGAGATGGTGGGAAAGGAGAAGTTCAGCTAATCAGTTTATCAGCTGTTGTCAAACTCTCTCTCCAGTTTTTAAGCACATACCTGTTAATAGGCAATTTTCTGGGCACCTTGCTAAAGTCAGTTTGAAAACAGAAGAATCTCCAAGAGGTTCCATGAACTAATTCTAAGGAATCTGAAAAATTAAGAAAGATAAACTGTTCGTCACAGCAGTGGTTGTACTAGTTCAGATTCAAGATAGATATAATGTGATGTATATGTAACATGATGCTACCTAGGGACCTCGATGTGTTCAGAGCCAGAATTTATGGACTTAAAAAAGAAAATCAACCAAGGAGGAAAAAAGACTGTTTAGGAGTATATGGGCAGTTACAATTATAATGTTAACTTTTACAGTGTGATATTGGCCATCTTGGTGCTATTGCCTTTTTATGACTTCTATTTTTATGTCTTTATATTTGTGTGTGCATTTAAGTCATTGTGATCAATGAATGTCTACAAAGTGGTGTACAAAAAAAAGAACAAACTAACACTGAGATTGAGCTAGATTTAGCAGAGGAAGGAAATAATGTGATATGAAGCAGAAAATTCCTATTAATGGGATTCAATTTAAATTGCTAAAAACCAGGAGGTAGCACCACACTGACAAAGCTTTATTTGGAAGCTCCCATGTGCCAGGATGGCATTTCCTGATATTGTGAGCCAGGTAGGTCTGTGCCCACATATTTTTTCCTTGGTTTTGGTGCAGTGCTCTCTTGCAGGTCCTATCAATCACATTATCTCATCTATCAGAGGATTCATATAATAAATGGAAAATTCTGTTGTCTAAGCTTCCTTGGGAGGTAAAGGAGAAACAAAGTATCCTAGGTATTATATTTATGTGGAAAAGTTGAAAAGAAAAAGACGGCTCTTAGGATTATCAGAGAAAGCTCATCACTTCAACACTTGGGAGCATGAGAATACAGTTCACAATCCATTGGAAATTTCTGTGCCAAGATAATGTTACATGTTTTTAGTTAAAGCAATTTTACTGTGATCTTTCTTTCATTTCTGTAGATAATTAAGGAGCTGAAAGATGAAGACTGGAACATGGGCAATATTGTGCATACATTGACAAACAGACGGTATGAAGAAAAATACATTGCTTATGCAGAGAGTCATGACCAGGTATTTTCAGCTGTTTGTTTGTGCATAACCAAGTAAAAGATCTTGTTTAGAAGTTTGGTGGTTTGTTTTGTTTTTTTCAATGAGAAATGAGTTGAGGAGGATGATAAGAATTTCAGAAATGGGTAGATTTGGACTAGTGTTCTCTTTTTTGTACTTTCTTTGTTTTGTTTAGGTTTTTTTGGGGAGGTTTGGTTTGGGGTTTTCTTTCTGTGTTTTTATTTTATGATCCTTAATTTCAGTAAAAGAATCTTCCCTGGAGTGCGCGGGTGTTAGTGGCTTTCAGGTTTTTTTTTGTTTTTTTTTTTTTTTTTTTTAAGGAATGAGTCAAAGCTTTTTATTTTGCCCGCCATAGAAGATAGGAAGGTGTAAAATCCATGCAATTGAAAACCCTGTTTCCATTAAGTAAGCTGGAACACTACTTCTGATAAGCATAAACAATATACCAATTTAAGAAATTTTTTTGTGACTTCTTTTCCCTTCGTGAAAGTCTTTCCTCTCTGGAAGAATTGAAAACATCCTCTTTTGAGACCTAAATGAAATATGCTGTAAGAGTTTGGTTCAAAGCACAGCAATTATAATAGTTCTGTGTGTGAAAAAAAGAAAAAGTAATGATGAGTTTGGATAACACTCATCTCCCACAATCTTTCTAACCCCTGTTTCTGAAGAGTCAGAAAACATGTAATTTGGGAATTGTACCATTAGCGTCTTTAAACCTTTCATTAAAAATTTCTATTTTATTTAATAATCTATCTTTCCTTTATATAATAGAGGTTGATATTCCGTTTCCTGTGCTTTCTGCAATAAATGTCAACAGAAATATCCAAAACAAGTTGTATATTTTAAAAAGAGAATTCTGAGTTTACAATTCATTTTGTGTGCCAGCTTACATTCTCTGAGTCTGTTACAGTGTTCATTTGATGCATGGTCCTTATAATGAACTTCAGAAATTACTTGGAAATATATATTATTCTATGATAAGCTGCTTTCATCAAAGATGGTTCTTCACCCTAAAGCACAGCATAGAACATTACTGTTGCTGTGCTTTTATTTCATCGTGACTTTAAGCAATTGAGTTGTTTTCCATATCACTTTGCATTTTCTGTTTAGAATGTCATACTTAAGGAAAAAAAAAATCTCATTATTTTTAATTTAAGAAATCAAACAATGATTACAGGTCTGCATCAGGCTGATATGTGAAAAGTAGGCTAGAGAAACAAAAAGTGTGGATAAAATTCAGCCTGAAGATGCCTGAAGTGATGCATGTGAGGGTACAGTCCTGGTTTCTTATATGCTGTAATGGGCTATGAGCTGACTGTTGCCAGTCAGAGAACAAGGCCTTTTGGTTATAAGAAGGGTGTGAAAATAGCAACTCCAAATCTAATAGCTGTCAAAAAGCAGATGCAGTCCTGGAATTACTAAGTGGGATAGAGCAAAGAGCACAATCAGCATGCCACTGCAGTCTTTCCTGGTTTGTGTGCATCTTCAGTGTTGCAGACAGGTTTGGTCCTTTATTTTAAGGGATATGCAGCATAACTGGGGGAAAAAAATGCTGTGCAGAGGAATAGCAGGTGAAGATTGATTTTCATAAGAAAAAAAACTAAACAGAATAAGATTCTTTGGGGCAGCGAAGAGATCATTGAAGGGGGAAATATATCCATTTATAAAATCACAGCTGCCACAGAAAACATGAATAGGGAAACACTTAGCTGCTCTTCCAATGGAAAGATTAGGGGATATTAAATGGCAGTAACAAATGCCACATTCTGAATCCAGAAAATAGTTGTTCATTGCAGTCTTCAGTCTTGTCATTGTCATAGGATTTTTTTTTCCTTTAAATAGAGTATTTTTTTACTTAAGAGAGTAATCTATATATGCAGTTATATTGTCACCTGGAAAATGAAAGGATGATGATGCTTTTCAGCTAGACCTGTTTACAATTAATCTGTATCTCTGGAATTTAGTAAGTTTTCATTCAAGAGTATAAAACAAGAATTGGTCTAATTGAACAAAAGTCAGCTATTTAAATATAAATGCTCCAAAATATTTCCAACTACCTACCTGCTAATATATTGAATAGCATTTGTGGCCTTTCTCTAGTAGCAGTGAGCGCTAGCAAGTTAGTAATTCAGTTTTTTGTGTGAAATCACAGAAAACCAATCACATTCTTGATTGCATATAAGTGAATGCTTCATACTCATTCTGCATGTCTGAATCAGTTTTGTTTATACCCATTTATTTTTACATTCCTGGAACTTTTACTTTAGGTGTTTGCTTTCTTATTTTCTGTGTTTCCTATAAAAATCCCCAAATGGTTGGTCAGTTGTGACTTACTGAGTTGATGCTGATATTGCCTGTTTGATAGCTGTAGGTGAAAAAGTTCTTAGAAGTAGTTATGCAGTGTGATCCCATTAGGTGAAATGTAGGACCAGGGTTAGGGCAGCTGCTACCATTGTTACCATTAGATGTGGAATCCCATCAGCCAGGAGCCCCAGTAACAATGGGGAGGCTTGCAAGGGGAAAACAGACAATTGGGGCTGACATCCACTCCTCACTCAGCTCATGGACATCTCTGCCTCAGGTTTTGGCAGCAGACCGGATCTGTGTGGCACATCACAAAATCACAGGTGCAGTGATCAGAATGTAGGATCACCATGACCTGGTGATCGTTGCTGGTTTCCTTCAGGAACAGGGACTGGATCATGCAGTGATCTTGCAAGATCTCCACCTACAATCTAGACCCCCTGTTTTAAAAAAGCCCAAAACTTAGGAACACTTCTATTACACCCAAGGGTTTTCTTCAGTGTCTTTCTGAACTGTTGTAGGCCCTGGTTGGTGACAAGACCCTGGCCTTTCGCCTGATGGATGCAGAGATGTACACAAACATGAGTGTGCTCATGCCCCTGACACCAGTTATCGATCGTGGGATCCAGCTTCATAAAATGATTCGTCTCATTACTCATGCACTCGGAGGAGAGAGCTATCTGAACTTCATGGGTAAGTAATCTCAGGAAAAAGTCTCTCATTTTCTCATCTACAGAATGCGTGGCGGGGAAATAAAATGATCTGACATCGTCTTCTATCCACAGTATTTATCACAGTGCTGAAATTTGGAGCATAAATGCTTTTATAGATTTATTACAAAAGGTAATATGCGTTGTTTTTCTGTCTGCAAGATGTATGGTAAGACAAGAAAATAAAATCAAGATGGTTTCTAAGTGTATGAGAAATAACTTCTACAACTCAGGCTAGTATTTTAATTGTTGTTTTTCAAGTTTGTCAGGTGCTGTGGCTCATGCAGCTAAGTTGTGTTTCATCTCTATTCTTTTACTCTCTTAAATTTTGTAGGGTAACAATAAATTTACTAAAGATAGCTCTGTGCTTATTTCAGTTATTAATTGTTAGGAAGAAGTCTGGAAGCAGTTGACCTATTTCATTGCTTCTTAGTGCTTAATGAGGTAGGCAAGGACAAATCACAGACACAGGAGGCACACGCTGCTATCAAAGCACAGAAATTGTTAGTGGCACTTTCTTCTGGTCCATCAACTGTAAATAAAATTACTGAGTTACTTCCTAAGCACAATTGCTACAAGAAATTTCAATTGTTAGTCTAATTTAATCAGCAAGTTACAGTTTCAGGTAGTCATCTTAAAAGTTGAGTATTCCTAGCTTTATGGAAAATTCAAAGCTATTTATGCTGTCTGTTCTTGGCCACTTTTATTTATTTTTTTTTTTTTTTGCGAAATAGTTCTTACTTTACAGTAAAAGGTTTGTAATGTGGTCTGACAAGTTCTGTGTAGGATTTGTGATGGCTTCATGGGGAGTGAAAGGGCTGAAAGCCTGTTACAAAATCACCATATCTGTTTTCTGATAATGTAACACTTAAAAATTATAGAAAATTTAGCTTACTACTGCTTTCTACTTTTGTGGTTAAATGTTTTGTTATATAAAGTTTAAAGGGACTGTTTGATATATATTGCCATTCTTCTGTAATGGTGTCTTTAACATCATATTTTCTTATTAAAAACCTGGAGAACATAAGACAATGGTGACACTGGATTTAAGTTTACCTTTTCTGGTACATATTCTCCTTCTTTGTATTAGGAGAAAACACAGAAAATATTGTATTGATTTTCTTAAAAAGAAGCAATTTCAGTATAGAACAAACTAATTCACCTCATGCAATACTAATAAAACTATTTCCAAGAAAATTTAAGTTGCTTGCTTCACTCTGGAGAAGAAAAAAAAAAGTTAATGAAATAAATATTTATGAAGTGTGCAATCAGGCTGTTCAAGGTATGAGGTGTGTGTTTCCATTCAAACTAGTGATACTGTAATAGTTAAGGAAACAGGTGTTTACTAAATGCTGCAGCTAAACTGCAGGTGTCTTTGGCCCAGATTGACTTAGTAAAATTAGAAATATAATCAGTAATGCAATGTGGCATGTTAAATCCAGTGTGTCAGTGCTGGCTGATTGAGCAATTAATATTGGGTATCTCTGAGTACTGCAAATGGTTCAGTAACTACATTATAGTTTGCTATATATAAAAAGGTGGAAAGATTGTAATAACTGTTGGAGGAGAAAGCATATAAAATTCAAAATGCTGGCAGTCCTGTGAACTTAAAATGCATGTTGCAACATGCTATCTAATTAAGCAAATACAGTGACAAATTAGATCTTTAACTTGCAGGTATGTGTGAATGCCAAAGGTAAGCAGGAGAAGCCTCCTGTAGGATGAGGGTGCGAGGGAAAATCTTCTTTGACAGTGCCTGGAGAAGGCATTCCAGGTGCCTTTGTGCTTCCCTAGATCCTTCCATTAAGAATCTTGTACTTCCTGTCTCTGAAAACCCAGCAAAGAAACACCCTGCTTTCTGAATGCTTTACTTGCCTTAAGGAAAAAGAAACCTCATCTAAAAATCTTGTGTCAGTAGTGGAAATCTGTATGCTCAGATATATCCTGTAATTTCTCTTTGAAGAGCTGAAATAATATTTAATTACACACATGTTGGAGCATCATTTGAGCTCTATACATGCAAGGAGATTCCTGCTGACAAAAGTCTGTGCATCAAACAGCGATTGTGGCTTTCTCTCATCTTTCTCACTTTTCACACTGGATGGTTCTCTGTCCTTCTTACATGTATCTCTAAGAAACCACTGCCAAAATCCTGAAAGTTGTAATTCTTATTTCTCATGTTTCTAGATGTTTAATTTTCACTGGAGACTTTTATTTTTCTTCCCACTTGCTTATATCCCTCTATTGGCAATGAGTGTTGTATGCAAAGTTAAACGTGAGCAGGAAATTTCTGTCCTTTCAGTAAATTGGTTCCCTTGTGACAAAAACCTTTGGGAGCATTCTTTCCTCCAGTCTGTGTTTTGGTTTTATGTGCAGCTTTCCAGGTGATCTCTCAGGCTTCATGTGTGCATCTGGCATGGAAGATTTAACCTAGGAAAGGAGAAACTCCATATGCTTGGCTGAAAATGAGAATAACAATGATAAATGTCCTGCAGCAGTGAATGCATTCTATGGAAGGCCAGTTTGTTTCATAGTAATAGCAAAAAAAGTAGAAAGTGTTTTGAAACTTTTGCTGTGTCTAAATTTTCTTTTTTCAGAGCAGGTAGAGAGCAACAATCCCAATGTAGCTGTAGTTTGTGTAACTCAGCTCCTGTTTTAGACAGATTTTAATAATGAGATGGGCCAGTTACAAGTCCGAAGTTGATAAGTTGAATTTTAGGAAGTCACAAAAATTCCAAGTTCTTCTGCACAATGCTTTAGTTGGGAGCACATGTGCTTCTTAAGGGGTTTCATTCTTTACTAATTTTCGGTGAAGGCCTTGACTTAGACAATGCACATATCTGAACTTTATTGACACTTATAGGCTCAAGCAGTTACAATGTGTGTATATTAAATAGTGAAAGTAGTCTTTTTAATTGTAAATAATAAGAAAAAAAACCCTCTCGCTTCTCAAGTGTTTTTGTTCGTAGTTACAGTGATACTGAAATACAGTACACATCTAATTAACTTAAAACCAGAAATGTAAATGCAAAAATATTTAGGGCCGTAGATCTCTGCCCTCCCTAATATCAGGATTTGAAAACAAATCCAAAATAAAAACCTTGTATCTGACTAAAATTCTTAATTGTCAGTTTTAGTCCTCTACAAAATAACAAAAGTGCTTGAGATTGAACATAATTCCTCAAGCACTAAACAAGGACTAATAGAAGTTGTTAGAAGACTTCTAGAGTATTACAGGACTCTTCTGATCTCAACCTGAAAATAAAGCAACCACTGTTGTTGCCCAGCAATGTTTAACTTCAGTGTAAATGAAGACTCACACAAATTTCTTGAAAATAATATTTGAACTTACCAGTACAAAACTGTTGTCTTTCCATCCGTGAGTTTTCTTTTTTCTTCATTTTCCATTCTGCCCCTGAAGACAAGCTGTAGACAAGGGTAAGTGTTTTTCTTTATATGTTCCTTTTGTATTTTTCTTGTTCATTGCATCTGTCTTGCACTTAGGGAAAGCCTGCAGGACATGTAAAAAAAGCAGTGCCAGTTCTTCAGTGCACTTGTTTCCATGGTCTCCCCTTATCTTGCAAGATACATCTGTGTGTCCAGATTTAGACAAGGGAGGGTAATTGTTTTGTTGCCCAGAATATACATACCCAAAGGGCCTTAAATAGCATTTTAGGCCCTTGAGATCCTTCATAGCACAAATACTGACTGTTTTATGCCCCTATAGGGTCTTGCTTTTCATCTTGCTAATAATCATTTCCTTGGTTCTTTTTTTTTTATTTGAAATTGGCTTCAGCTCAAATCCATTGATTTAAATGGAGATTAGTTGCTACATGAACCTCTAGCACTATTTTTCATGACTCTCCTGTAGTAAAACAACTCGTAATTAAGACTCCAGAGACCAAGTTTCACTCCCTGAAAAACAATTTTTGAGACTATATATATGTATATAGCTAGGAAATGATTTGAAATAACTAGAACATTTTTTTGCTATCATGAAAATTGACTGAAAATGTTACTGTTTGGGTTGACATTCACCGGTTTCACTACTGTCTAATTTGTCTGTTAGGTTTCCTCTTCCCCACTTGTTAGTTAATTTACACAGCAGTTTTTATCTACCGTCTTCAGTAAAATGACATGCATCATCTATTCCTTGGAGTATTTTAGAGAGAGAAACTTAGATATTTTTTCAGAAACTTACTCTTAAACTAAGGAATTTCATAACAGCAGGCTCTTGAAAAAATACTGACAAACAAGAAAAGGAGTGGTACAAAAACTGTATCAGTTGCACCCATAATATCAGTGTGAGAAAGGTTTGTACCATTTTCTTTAATGATATTCATTAAAACCTGAAATAAAAATGGTGCAGCATAACTGACAATATAAATAGGAATGATACTTTAAACAAAATCCAAACTACTATTTTTATTGCTAGCTATTCTAAATGAAAAAGAAATTGTTATCAAGAACAGGATGTTTAGCTTAAACTTAAGGGAGTTTGGTTCTCTTTGGCATGTTGTATTTCGACACTTTTCTCTGTTCACTTTCTTATGCATCTTACATCTGTGCACTGGTTGCAGGGTGACTTTTTTGACCATCATCTAGAGTGGCCTTGGGGGAGCATATTCTCTTCAAACTCACTCACTTTAGTCAGCTTCTCTGGAAAAGCAACCTTGAAGTACTCACTTGGTACAGACTGCAGCTTTAGGAGAGGTAGTTTGAAGTCATCCTTCTTAATGTGCCTGCCTAGGATAGGTGACAAATGTGCTGCCAGTTCCAGCAGGTGCTTTAATTCCATGGCAGCCTGACAGATAACAATTATGTTCACTTTAAAGTAGAAAACAAGGGTGTAATCTGAAATCTCACCTACAGGTTCTCAGAGACTTAGTGATAAACCACCTACAACTTTGTAGCATAATAGCCCATATGCAACACCACTCACAACTTGGGTTGGGCAGTGGCAGTGGGAAGAATTCAAATTTG